GGTTTAGGAGATTGTGGAGAAGGTTTTGGGGAGGTAGGTTTTGAAGTTTTTGGAGAATTATTTGATTTTTGAAATTTGAGAATTATGTTGTTTATCACTTAATTTTCTTCTTAAAGAATTTTGTTCTGGATTAACAGAAAACAAAGAATCTCTACGAACTAATCCAGCACCACTTTTTGGTTGATCTTGACCTTCGAGATCCATTAAAGAAGGATTATCATTATCCGAAAAAGCATCAACGTCAGGTCTCGTGACTAAGAATTCACCTTGTTGATCCCAGGCTCGAAAAGCTTCAAAACCACCTCTAAGCCAATAAACGCGTCCTTTAGGAGTATCATTATTTTGATCAATGTTCTCAGAAGAAGAATTATAATGATGATTTAACATAGCGCGTTCCAAAACACCTAATAAAGTCCAACCAGGACTAACTTTATCATTTTCATCCATTGTCCCATCAAAGATTATTACATCATTATTAAAATTAGAAGTATCATCTTGAACTTTATCAATATATTTATCACGACCTTCAGGAGTTGTTATGAAAGAAACCAAAGAAAAGTTGTTCATATTTCCACGACGATAACGTTTAATAAGAAGGGTAGGAAGATTTACATTGAAAGAATCACGAATATGTTGATCTTGATACAAACATAAATTACGTACATCGATGAGAATAGGATTAGATGATTTAAAAGATTTATTATAATCATCAAAATATTGAGAGCATTCATCATCAATTTTTGAGTTACGTGATGAAGAATCTCTTAATCTTTCAGCCAATTCAGGAGGAGTAATTGGTAAAGCTTTTCTACAAGTAGTAGAAGATTTTGGATGTCTAATATTAAATTTTCCTAACCTTGAAGGAGGTTTTGAAGATTGAGAAGGGGAATTTATTGATAAAGAGAAAGGGGATTTACCGAAAAGGAAAGAAGAAGGTTTAGTGGTAGTTGGAGAAGGTTGAGAAGCATTGGAAACGATAAAAGTAGCATTAGCGGTAGAATTAGTAGGGCTCTCAGAGCGCTTACGGATCGAACCGCTACTTCCTTTTCTATGTAATAATTTTGGAGATTTTGGGGGTTTAGGAGATTGTGGAGAAGGTTTTGGGGAGGTAGGTTTTGAAGTTTTTGGAGAATTATTTGATTTTTGAAATTT